AAAAAAAAAAAATAGGGTTATTGGAAGGTTAGTTTCATTAATAACTTTAGGCTGTGACTTCTATTTCATCTGTAACATCTACTTTATACTTCTTATTCCCTTATATTTCAGGAGTTTACACTTTTTATTTTATTGCTACATTAAAAAAACAGTTGCCATTTTTATGTATATAAATAATTAGCCGAACAACTAAAATTTACATATATAAATTAAATTAAAATACGAAAATTTGTGTGTAAGATTTAAATAAAATACAGAAATATCTGTATATCCAGAACCAAAATAATGCTAAGACAGCACTAACAAAAAGGCTGAGAAGAACTTACCGCAAAGTCAAAGTATAATCTCCCTGCATTTTTGTTGAGGCATCTCGGACCAAGAAGGTACCATCTGGCATGTCCCGTAACTTGTCATTCACCTCTTCCCTAAAGAACAGAATTAAAGAAAAAAATGTAAGCACTAGTTGTCTTTGCATATTAATTATTAAGGCTACTTGGGAAGTGGGTATGTCTGGTTATAGAATTATGGAGGCCTCCTTATGGAGGTCATTTAATTCCTCTCCCTAGATGCTCTTTCTATTTTGATTTTTGTTGTTATACACTCTAAGGAAGGTCTATTTGATTTTTAAACTCTTCCAGATTTCAGTTGTGTATAGGAGATAGTATTTCCTTTAAGTCTTTAGGGCTTCCTTAGGCAGGTTTAAACTTGCAGAATTTCAAGAAAAAAAATAATAGCTGTTTCAAAAGGTTATACGTAATCAACAGTGGTAGCTGAGCTGAGTGGGGTAGGTTGGGAGGGTGGAGGTGAATTTACCAAGTTTATAAACCTTCAATATGATATTCTATAATTTAAATTGATAATGATAAATTGTTTTTTTAATCAGCCTACCTCATGCTTTGATGATAAATTCCTTCTGCAGAGCTGTTTTAGGATTCTAAGGAACACTAGAACACTCAAAAGAAAATGGCAAGGCATAAAAGACCCTAAATTACAGTAGAACTACATGATCTTAAAATATAAATTTAAGTAGCATTTAAATATAATAGACTTTTTTATTATTAACATTAAAATAAAAATGTTCTGATCAATTTTAATATATATTAAGTCCTGTTTAAAAAATAAAGTACAGAATTACCATATGAACCAGTAATTCCATTCACTTCTGGGTATGAACACAAAAGAATTGAAAGTAGGGATTCAAACAGATATCTGTACACCAGTGTTCATAGCAGCATTATCCACAATAGCCAAAAGCTAGAAACAGTACAAATGGCCATTAAACCCAAATGGCCAGATGAATGGATAAATAAAAATATAGTACATACATATAATGGGATATTATTCAGCCTTAAAAAGAAATAAAATTCGGCTCAGTGCCCATAGCATTGTGGTTACAGTACCAGTCACACACACCACGGCTGGCAGGTTCAAACCCGGCCTAGGCCAACTAAACAATGATAACTACAACCAAAAAATAGCCGGGCATTGTGGCAGGTGTCTGTAGTCCCAGCTACTTGGGAGGCTAAGGAAAGAGAATCGCTTAAGCTCAAGAGTTTGAGGTTGCTGTGAGCTGTGACGCCATAGCACTCTACCAAGGGTGATAGTGAGACTCTGTTTCAAGGAAAAAAAAAAAAAAGGAATAAAATTCTGACACATGCAATACATGAATGAGCCTTGAAGTAAGTGAAATAAGCCAGTTACAAGCAGACAAATATAATTTCACTCATGGGAGGTAGTTGTATTCATAAAGACAAAAATAGCATGGTGATTGCCAGGGAGGAGAAAATAGGAAGTTATTATTTAATGGACACAATTGGGGAAGATGAAAAGTTGTAGAGATATATGGTGGTGAAGATTACACAACAATGCAAATATACTTAATACTATTAGACTGAACACTTAATAACAGTTAAAAATAAGGGTAAAAAAAATGAAGTACCACTTTGACGGAGAGAGAGAAGAGAAAAGAAAAAGGGAAGGACAAGTGTATTGACGAATACAGCATCAATCTGGAACCTGGAACCTGATTTGACATAAATGAAAAGGGCTCTTTGAAAAAAAATGCCAGGCAGAGTGGATCACATCTACAATCCCAGCACTTTGGGAAGTCAGCACTAGAGGATCACTTGAGGCTAGGCATTCAAGATAAGTCTGAGCAACATAGCAAGACCCCATCTCTACAAAAAAATAAAAAAAATTAGCCAGGTGTGGTGGCACATGGGTAGAATCCCAGCTGTTCAGGAGGCTGAGTTGGGAAGATCTTTTAAGCCAGTGGTTCTCAACCTGTGGGTTGCAACCCCTTTGTAACAGTGAAAATACATGCTGCATATCAGATATTTACATTACGATTCATAACAGTAGAAAAATTACAGTTATGAAGATAATTTTATGGTTGGGGGTCACCACAACATGAGGAACTGCATTAAAGGGTCGTGGCATTAGGAGGCATTAGGAAGGTTGAGAACCACTGCTTTAATCCCAGGAGTTTGAGGTTACAGTGTGCTGTCATTTTGCTACTATATTCCAATCTGGGTACAGACAGAGACCCTGTCTCTAAAAAAGGAATATACGTTTGAGATCTGTTAAAACAAAGTTTTATGAGAAAAATAAAATAGACAAATAAAATCAAAAAAACATGGTATTCCGATTTTAAAAATACACTATTTTTTCACTCTCTAGTTTGAAAATAATCCCAAACCACATTTTATTCAAAAAGTGAATGCATCCTAGAGTTCTGTTTCTCAAAGTGAGATGTGTACAGTCTACATCAAAATCACCCACAGAAGTTGTGAAATGTAGATTCCTGGGCTCATCTTAATTGATTTTTGTGCATGCAAAGATTTTAGCACCATTGCCTTAGAGAAAAAAAGATATGAAAATTTAAGCATCTGAAAGTATTTTTTATTAAAATGCATGTAATTATCCTAAATGTATGTTTAATTTATTCAGAAACCCATCTTCATTATAATATTAAAAGTAATAACCTGTGGCAGTGCCCGTAGCTCAGTCACATACACCGAGCCTGGTAGGTTCCAATCTGGCCCGGGCCCACTAAACAACAATGACAACTCCAACCAAAAAAAAATAGCTGGGCATTGTTATGGGTACCTGTAGTCCCAGCTACCTGGGAGGCAGAGACATGAGAATTACTTAAGCTAGTGGTTCTCAACCTTCCTAATGCCGTGACCCTTTAATATAGTTCCTCATATTGTGGTGACCCCCAACCATAAAATTATTTTTATTGCTACTTCATAACTGTAATTTTGCGAATTGTAATGTAAATATCTGATATGCGGATGGTCTTAGGTGACCTCAGTGAAAGGATTGTTCAGGCTCGGCGCCTATAGCTCAACTGGCTAAGGTGCCAGCCACGTACACCTAAGGTGGCGGGTTCGAATCCCCAGCCCGGACCCGCCAAACAAAAATGACGGCTGCAACCAAAAAATAGCC